TATTTATTTATTTTTTTTGGAAAGCGGGTTAAGTACAAAGCCTGGTTTACATAGACCTAATAAATAATAGTCTGTTGCATTCAAATTAAAATAGCCAACATTGTGAATATGGAAACATTTGGATTCGTGTCAAATAAGAGAGTAGGAAGAGGATTATCTCCAGAATAAAGTCATTAGCCTATAATGCGAGATTAAACTAATTAAATATCCAGAAAAATGTAGAAATAAAATATTGAGAATAAAAATAATTAAATATCGAGAATAAACTCGTTCATCAGTCAACTTCATTGCAGCCAACACTGACTCAGAAAACAGTTTAATAATAATAAGTAGCCTAAATAATATGTTCTAGCTATTTATGCGATCCGCTTGAGCGCGGAATAGGCTATAGCCTATAAAACACTCGTTTAGCATAGTTTAGTTTAAGTTAATTTAATAGTTTAAATATAAACGTACGATTACTGATGGCTTAAATGAGCGACTATAATAGCCCTTTTAATAATAATATTAATAATAATAATACAAGGAAGGAATAACTGACAACGTGCCGTTGAATTACAGAAGAAGAAAAAACGAAGGATGTGAAATGCTGTAAACTGCGAAAATAAAGTCTCAAAATCCAAATGAACCGAACAAGATCGACTCGAACTAGACATCAATTAATGCACGCGTGTCACCTGATCCACATATGCACAGATTCCTTTTTGCATGAGCAATTTATGATATATTAATGCAGAACAGAACATTTTTATTCGCAAACATGTCTGTATTTGTACAAATCGCTGCGCAATCATTTAATCCAGAATTCCAGACTCAAATTGAAAGGTATTTGTTTGTGGTTAGTAAAATACATGTATAAAATATATGCAGTACATGGCTAATTGTGCGTGCATCTATTAATCATTTTGAGCCTAATATCATCCCATATTACTTTATAAAGAGCAGATAATGTACTATCGTAAGTGGACTTGTGTCCTGTAGGTTTAGCTGTACCGATGCGCCGCCCTCTGATGAACATCACATACTGTATATAAATGCTGCTGTCACGATATCCCGCGCCGAAATCTGCACCCTGCCAGAGTATGCACCCCCTAGGTAGGTTTAGGAGTAGGTGTGGGGGAGGGGCTAGGATTAGGGGTGGGGTTAGGATTAGGCAATCAGGTAGCGACTTCAACGAGGGGGTGCATAATCTGTCAGGGGTGCAGAATTCGGCACAGCTGAACCTTTACAAACGAGTTTATGTAAGTATTAGACAAGATACGAAGGGAGTTTATATGTTTCTCGAATGGTTACATGACTCTTACAAACAGATTTCCTAATGTTTTATACATTTGCTTTGTTCACGCGAACGACTGTCTAAACATGAACAAACTGCTTAGTCTCGTAAAATGTAAATGTTGTTGTTGTAGTATCTCCATAAACGTGCAGCTTGTTTTAAACTCACTTATTCCCAGCAGTAACATTTGTGACCAACTTTTGAGTTTAAAGAGTCTAAAAGCCTTCTTGGTGAATTTTAAACCGCAATGGCAACTATGAATGAAAGTTGATTTTTGTGAACCTTTGCTCGTGAGTTCTAAACGGTCACGTGACCAGAACTGTCTAACTACGGTTGTTCCCTAATAATGTCTGTTTTTATCAGTCTTTGGTTTTTATACAATCTATGGTACAAACTCAATAAAACATGTCATAATACAGATGAAACTACAATATTTTATGCATATCATATTTAAATTATATTTTATTAAAGTCACCATGAAATCAACATTGAAAATTCTTATTTTTTAATGGAATACTGTAGTGTTTATTATAAATAATTTATTTGTGCACTTCATTGTTTTTTTTTTAAATTCATGTGCCCTCATAATCTTTAATCAAAAACGTTAACCTCCCCTCCCCCTCAAAACGACTCATCTTCTCTTCCGGTCACGAGCTGTGGCGCAAGGGCGGAGCTAGTGACGTGGGGGTAAACGCTGGGATAAACAACAGGTGAAAGCTGAAGCTGATGCTTCACTTTATAGCACTGACACCAGTCATGAGGGAGTACATTACCCCTAAACATTGAAAAGATATTAGGATATTACGACAACATTACTCTTAGGACATCAGAGTCCTAAAAAAAACTATTTTTTTTTCATGAATATGACTTAAAGAGGTCATGCGGTTTAAGGTTAAAAAAACACATTATTTTCCACATACTGTACATTATTGTTTCTCCTCTATGCCCCGCCTTTCTGAAACGCGTCGATTTTTACAAAACTCATCGGCCTGAGATAACAGGTGTGCTCTGATTGGCCAGCTATCCAGTGCGTTGTGATTGGCCGAATACCTCAAGCGTGTGACGGAAATGTTATGCTTCTTACCATACTGTGATGGTGTGTCCCGGCCAGAGCGACGAGACAAAAACATTAAAACCCATTATAAACGAGGCATTTGTTGCATCCAGTGGGGACATAATTACGGATTATAATGACTTATACTGTCTTTTACGCGTTGCGTTGCATAAACATAAAACCATGTCTGCATTTGTGAAACAAAGTAGTTTCGCTTTCACAACGAAACACACAGCGGCTAGAGTGAGCAGAGGCGGGCGAGTTTGAGAACGGCGCGGCCAGCGAATTCAACGAAGGAGCGTCCGGCAGGCTTGCAGCAACAACATGTGACGATCCCGGACTGGACTCCACTTCGTCCACGGTGAAAGCCGATCCGGCGATAATATTATGCAAATTTCTTTTAACTTTCTTTGTAACAAAAATGTATAATAACCAAACATATGATGATGAAAGGCAGAGTTTCACAGGTATTTTATCTATTAGTTACACATAGGAAAGAAAAGCCACACCAAGCTGGTTAAAGATAAAGTTCCACAATGAAGAAAGATTTTTTCATAAAGCATTTTAATCAAGAAATCTTAAAGGGGTCATATGATGCGATTTCAAGTTTTCCTTTCTCTTTGGAGTGTTACAAGCTGATTGTGCATAGATAAGATCCCTGAAGTTGCAAAGACTAAAGTCTCAAAACCAAAGAGATATCCTTTATCAAAGTTAAGACTCTGCCACGCCCCCCTAAAACGGGTCGTTCTAACGCGCCCCCACATACCTACCTCACTATGTGGAAATATTTGCCCAAATGTGCATGCAAAGAAAGAAGGCGTGGTTTCAGTAACCGCAGTTAGTGTTGAAGCAGCCATGTCGGGGAGAAGCTGCGTGTTTCTAGGCGAAAGCAAAAGCCCTTTATTTGGCCTTCCGAAAGTAGATGAATTTAGGAATCTTTAAGATTACTTACAACAGAACAGCAATGCATTTTATGGACGACCGTTTCGTGAACCTGGGAGAGGAGGTAATTCTGACTTTGCTATGTTGTCAGAAGGAGGGACTTTGTAGAAAACGAAGCGTTTGCTCATGATCAGTCTAAAGATGACCAGATTTGGCTACCCTCTGTACTGAATATTCATACAGAATATTCTGTTTTCTCATTGGAATTTTAGTTGACTTTTAAGAAATATAACTTTTTTTTCTGCTCAAACCTGCAGGAAATATATAATTTAGACCTGTACAAATGGAGAAGCAGGTTGTGGATGGGCTGAGGGAAGTCTTCCAGTCAGGCAGATCCAGACTCCTGCAGTACAGAAAACAGCAGCACAGAGCCCCTGCACCGCCTCATCACTGAACGCCAAGCAGACATCGAGCAAGCTCTAAAACAAGACCTCAACAGGGTAAGGCAGCCATTTTGACCGTTTCCTTTAAAGCTATAAAATATTCATTCAGTAGCAAGTTAGCAACACTGAATGTTTTTATTGCCATCAAAGTCATTCAGTTTTACTGAATGCTAAAACTTTATTGTCACTGTCATCAAACAGAATACATATAACACTTCACTCTTTGAACTGATCAGCATCGAGAATGACATCAAGTTGGTGGAAAGCGACATGGCAGACTGGGCAGCTCCTCGGCCTGTGAAGAAGAATCTCAACAGCACACTGGATGATGTTTACATAAAGCCTAAGCCTTTGGGTGTTGTGCTGATAATTGGAACCTGGAACTACTCTTGGGCCATGATCCTGCAGCCCCTGGTTGGAGCTATTGCAGTGGGTAGTAGGATTTTTTTAATAATTACACCCAACATGAAATGATGTGTTCAGCCATGCTACTTCCACAATATAAAGCATGTACAAACAGAAGAAAATGTTGAGCGGGACTTGATTTTATCTATTGGGAATAAATTGGATTATAAAACAATGATAAATACAGTAGGAGGTGATGAAAGTTGATAAAGCTTGTCTAATTATGACAACTCTCAGAATACATTTTAGTGATAGGTGTAGGAAGGATTGATCTTGTTAGACAAGATCTTGCTCAGCTTGTGCTGCTGGCATGAATGAAGCTTGCTCAGAATTACAGGAATTAGGATACAAGGTAAGGTCAGGAGAACCCTTGTAGCAGATCTAGACTAAAGCAAATTCTAATGCTGCGCAGTACTGAGCTGGCTGAGGTTGAGATGGAAATAACAAGGTTGCGTAGATTGGAGTGAGAGATCCTGTCGCCAATAGCCTCATGGTTAGTTGGCTGACGTACAGCGCAATTGTGGTCATGGCGACCCGAGTTCAATTCCCGTGTCGAGGTCCTTTGCCGATCCTGTTCCCCTCTCTCCTCCCGGTGCTTTTCTGTTGTCTCCCAACTGTCCTATCTATAAAAGGCATAAAAAGCCTATAAAAACAACGAAAAAAAGGAATGAGAGGTCAATTGTGATTGCACTGCTGGCTTTGAACAACCAGTCAACTTCTCTGAAGAGTTTCATGACTGAATTATGCATTTGTTTTAAAAGTGGCACAAGTTATCACATTTTGAAGAAAGATTAAAGACTAGGAATGTGAATTAAGAAATTAATTGTCAATTTTGATTTCATGTTAACTTTTAATCTCTTTTAGCTTCACCAAGAAGCTTCACCAACACCAAATGAGATTTCAACTCCACACTGTTTTCCACTTTTGTTGTTTAGGCAACGCAGCTGTGTTGAAACCGTCGGAGCTGAGTGAGCACTCTGCTAGACTTATGAAAGAACTGCTTCCTCTATATCTGGATAAGGTGCTCATTTTGTTTCTATAATTCAGTCTCATGTTTGTTGTTCAAGGTTTTGAGAACAGTTTGACAAACATTTGGATCATTTTAGGAGATGTATCAAGTGGTGACAGGAAGGGTTCTAGAGACCCAGGAGCTGCTGAAGCAGCGTTTCGACCACATCTTCTACACTGGGAGCAGCACGGTTGGGAAACTGGTTATGGAAGCTGCAGCTCGTCATCTCACACCAGTGACTTTAGAACTGGGTGGAAAAAGCCCCTGTTATGTTGACAAGAACTGTGACATTGTTGTGGGATGCCGGTAGTATACAGTTTTATGGGATGGTTCAGCCAAAAATGAAAATTCATAATTTACTCCCCTTTAGGTTGTTCCAAACCTGTTTGATTTTCTTATTCTATGCAAAACAAACTAAAAAATGTCTCAGTGTTGATTTGTCTATGCAATGTAAATCGATGGGATCCAATATTATTTTCGACCCCATTGACTTTAATTGAAAGAAAAAAATCCACATGAAAGTCTTCATGAGAGTGAGTAAATAATGACAGAATTTTCATTTTCAAGTCCTAAAATCTTGGGACTTTAGGACTTAAGACATCTAATTTAAAGCTCTGGGAAACATTATCAGCTGAAATAACAGATTTCCAAATGTCTTTATATCAGACGAATAACCTGGGGGAAGTTTGCAAATTGTGGCCAGATGTGCATTGCCCCTGACTACATTCTGTGTGAGCCAAGCATCCAGGACAGGATAGTTGAAGAGATTCAAAAAACACTACTGGTGCATACTTTTTTTACAAAAAAATTGTAATCCATGTGCATGTTGATAGTAAGACAGGACCTAGAATCTTAACTCATTTCAGGAGTTCTACCATAAGGACCCTAAAAGCTCTCCAGATTATTGCCGAATCATTAATACACGTCACTTTGACAGAGTATTGGCTCTAATGAATGAATGCACTATTGCTCTTGGAGGAGAGAGTGATCGCTCACAATGTTACATAGGTAAGGACCATTTTTATTGCCAGTAATAAAGTCATGAGGTTTATCAGTTGAGTTATAGTAAATCAAAAACATGCATTTTTCTTCACCACCAGCTCCTACGGTTCTGAAGAATGTTTTACCCCATTTCAAAATCATGCAAGAAGAAATCTTTGGACCACTGCTGCCAATCATCACTGTTAATGACTTGAGTGAGGCCATACATTTGATCAATGCAAGAGAAAAGCCATTGGCGCGCTATGTGTTTTCCTCTGATAAAACGGTATTCTTTTCATTACCAGTGTTTTTTTGGAAGGCAGAATAAAATAACATTTTAAGTCAGTTTCAATATGTCCAAGTGAACTTTACTTTTTTTTTTCAATTTAGGTGATTAAGTGAATGTTAACTGAAACCAGCAGTGGAGGAGTGACTGTTAATTATGTCTTGATGCATTACACTGTCGATACTTTACCTTTTGGAGGTGTAGGTAAGCCAACCAATAAGACGTAAATACACTCAAGACAAGTAATGTTTAGGATGAATTTGCACTATTACAACTATTAAATTAGACCATTATATAAATATGATTAGAAATCACTTAAATTAGGACATTGTATATAAGGGTAAATACATACAATTTGATATCTTGCTAAAATGAACAGAAGCTGTTATATTAAATTACATTTAACTCTATTTATATATTACAATAGCCTGCTCTTAAATAAGTATATTGAATTATGCAGTATATTGATCTGAGATATTTATCTGTTTGTCTCAACCTATCAATTTTTTTCACTCTCACTCTATTTAAGGAAACAGTGGAATGGGCAGATATCATGGGAGACACACGTTTGACCAGCTGAGTCACCATCGTGCCTGTCTCATCAAGTCTTTTGCTATGGAGAGTTTGAATGACGCCCGTTACCCTCCACTAACAGCAGCCCGCCTGCGCAAGGCCAAGTTTTTCATGCAGCATCGCTTGTGCAGCTGTAGTGGCATATGTGTGTGGGCCGTCATCGCATCCCTATTGGCAATTGGTCTGCTTGTTGCCTTAATAGTTGTGCTCAATGTGCTGGTATAGGTAAAAAAAAACTTTTACAGCTTATAACATGGCATTGTTGTTTTCTTGATTCTGATATGTGACCCTGAACCTTAAGTCTTAAGTAGGACAGGTATGTTTGTAGCAATAGCCAAAAATACATTGTATGTGTCAAAATTATCGATTCCCTTTCAAGGGAACTTCGAACTGCGTCCTCTAGGGGTCGCTATGGGGAACGCCTCGTCGTGACCCGTGTCTGAAGCATACATTGAAAAAACACCAACAACATGTTGGCCGGCAACAGCCATGACGTCACTACCAGTGCAACTATAGTATAAATAGGCGCCAGAAGAACACATCATCCTCTTCTTCGTCTTCACTGACCGTTATGTTTGAAGCGTGCCGTTCTTGCCTTATGCTTTCAG